AAGTCATTTAACTTCTCTGAGCCCTTCCTTAAAAACAGACATAGCATGCCCCACGTATTCAAAAACGCTTGCAGACGGATGTGCCTGGCAGCAAGGAAGAGGTAGAGAAGAGGGCTGAGGAAGTAGCAACATAGAAAGTACCCGAGGAACCCAGTAGAACCGAGAACCGCTGGGGCCAGAAGCCCAAGACTGCCCCTCTGAGCTGTGAGAAGCGGGTGGCCCCCGGCTGGGGATGGCTTATGGAAAAGAAAAGGCTTGGGCAATATATATTCATGACCCTGTTCCTTCCTCATCCTCTGAGTTGGAATGAGGGCCCCTAGCCTGCCCTGCTCTCATGGGTCCCAGAGCCTTTGCGTATACCACTCTCTTCTCTCTTCGTGCTAACTGCAGCACAGCCGCCAAGACTGAATTCAAGAATTAGGCCAGGCGCAGTGGCTCACGCCTGTAACCCCAGCACTTTGGGAGGCCGAGGCAGGCAGATCACTTGAGGTCAGGAGTTCGAGACCAGCCTGACCAACATGGAGAAACCCCGTCTCTGCTAAAAATACAAAAATTAACCCAGCGTGATGGCGCATGCCTGCAATCCCTGCTACTCAGGAGGCTGAGGCAGGAGAATCGTTTGAACCCGGGAGGCAGAGGTTGCAGTGAGCCAAAAGTGTGTCACTGCACTCCAGCCTGGGCGACAGAGCTAGACTCCATCTCAAAGAGAGAGAGAAAGAAAAGAATCACCTTCGTGGACATCCCTTTTTGACAGTATTCTCACCCGGGCCATTTCTTGCAGTACTTAGAAGGGCCTACACAGGCATAGCACTGACCCTGTGGCACTTACCACACTGTATTAGTTGGTTTCTGTATCAGGGACCCTCCCAGTTGTGCACAGCTCGGGGGGGTGGGGGCTGTAAGCTGGTGGTTCTCCTTACACGGGACTGGTCTATACAATGCCCCAGTGAAAGTATGTTGAATAAATGAATGGTCGGGGGAACGAATGAAGATAGCCTCAGGATCAGACACCAAAAGGTTAAAAGGAGTTGGAGGGTAATGGGGGTCCCAGCTCCCTCTGCTGGGCATCAAATCACTGGTTAGAGAGCCCCCAGGCCTGCCCAAGACTAGCTGAGGTTCCCAGAGCTGGGATCTAGTTCCACAGCAGTCAACTTGCCTTCTGTAACATTTACCTTGACCTGTAATTAGAGACAATTGTCTGCATGTATATTGGAATCACATCCCTGTCCCCTACCAGACTTGAAGCTCTTTGAGGCATCTGTCTTCTCTGTTCTCGCTCATCACAGTACCCCTAGTGCCTGGCACACAGGAGTTCTCTAGCACATACTTGAAGAGTGACTATTGCAGGGAAGCAGTTCCATCCCCCCAAGCAGGCCCAGAATCAGTGTGCAGAGAAAAAGGCAGAAGCCAGGAACCACCCTTGTCTTCTCAGCCATGTGCCGCCTTCCCATGGCCTTCAAACCACCCAGCCCCAGCAGCCCTGGCCGAGGAACTGATCCAGGGCCCCTGGCTAGGCCTGCAGCAAAAGGCCTAGAAGCCCCATGGGTGGGACCTGTTTCTCTGCCCCTTTAGCTTCCTTACCCTCTTCCCTCCAGAGAAACCTGAATGGAGTTGGCAGATTTCTCCAAGTGTCTGGGTTTATTCCATCCCTGCGATCTGCTAAGCACTGTTCAGCGTTTTCCTATCTGCTTCTATATTTTACTTAAACTTCATACAAATAAAAAATAGCTAACATTTTTGAGCACTTACTATAATCCTGGCACATACTTTACATGTATTAACTGATTTAACAATCTCAGGATATAGAAATGATAACTATACCTTTTTTTTTTTTTTTTTGAGACGGAGTCTCTCTCTGTTGCCCAGGCTGGCAATGGGGTGATCTTGACTCACTGCAACCTCTGCCTCCCAGGCTCAAGGGATTCTCCTGCCTCAGCCTCCTGAGTAGCTGGGACTACAGGTGCGTGCCACCACGCCGGGCTAATTTTTGTACTATTAGTAGAGACCAGGTTTCACTGTGTTAGCCAGGATGGTCTCTATCTTCTGACCTCGTGGTCCGCCCGTCTTGGCCTCCCAAAGCGCTGGGATTACAGGCATGAGCCACCTCGCCCGGCCAACATACCTTTTTATCACTGAGGGCATTGAGGCAGACAGGTATGAGAAACAAACTATCTGGGCTTTGAACCCTGGTCTTCCTGTACCCTAAATAGGCAGCCCTTCCCATGGCATTACCCACATTTTCTGGGTTCCAATCCAGGGTCTGGCCACTCAGGCTTAGGTATAAGGGCTGCTGTCCAGGTCTCTCTCCCTAGGGCCACCTGGATGAGGGGATACGATTAGGGGCTGAGCACAGACGGAAGCAGCTTTGCTCCCTACTCTCTGAGTTCAGGCACAGAGAGGACAAGAAGGGGCTCCTTTGGGACCACAACTGCCCCCATGGGGCAAGTGGAATGAGGGAATCAAGGGGGAGCAGCCCCCTCCGAAGCCTCAACAACCCCCACCCCCACCGGCTTCCTTGTAGCCCTAACTCGGGAGATCTAATTTTCTGCCCCCAGGAAGTGCCTAAGTAACCAGGCCTGCTAAAATCTCATTCCCTCTCACTCCTTATCTCTCCCCAGAAGAGCCAGACAGCTCCTGAGGCGCCCTCTCTCTTCCCTCTTTTCCTCTGCTTCAATCATAGCCCAGTCTCCTCACAAGCCTGCTGGGGAGTCTGAGGACCCCTCCCAGCCCTTTCCAGGGAAACACAGGTTAGCCAGGTTCAGCAGTTCGGGTAGGAAGTGCGCCGGGGACGGGGGGCGCCTTCCAGGAAGGGGATGGCTTTTCTTCCTTACCCCTCTGCAGCCCTTCCCCTACCTGTTCTCAGTCAGGAGGCTCTAAGGGCGTGTGGGCCTGGAAGGTAGGGCTGGGAGGGTCCAGTGACTGAGGACGAATGAGCGTGAGTGAGGGAGTAAGGGCCATGGTGTGGTGTAGCGTGGGTCAGTGTAGTGCGGCCGTCAGCTGTGTCCGCGCGCAAGTGGCAGGAGAGGGCGCGCATGCAGGCGAGGAGGCGGAGCCGGGTCTGCGCGGTGGGTGCACGGGGCACAGCGAGAAAGCGCCTTACTTCCCCCGGACCTCTGGGCTCAAGACGTCCCTCGAGATTCTCAGCCCGGGGCGCACAGTCCGAGAGTCCCCCGATTGTCTGGCTCCCAGGGCCCCTCCCCCCTTGGCGCTAAACGACCACGATCTTTCCCTCCCTGCGGACCCAGTAGAGGGCGATGTCACACCTCTGCGGGTGGAGCCCCCACCCCAGCACCTCCGCGTCCTGCACCCAGACTCCCGCTATAAGGCTCGGGGCGAGGGTCTGGGATGGCGACGGAGGCTGGGCAGGAGTCAGCGGCCGCGAACCCCTCCCCATCCCCGGCCTCGGGAGTAGGAAGTGGACACTTGAGCCGCAGCTCGGCGCGCCCCCTCCGCGTTATTTGCGCCTGCAGCCGGGAAATGCGGAGCGGCGGTGCCGGAGGCCCTTCAGCACCGCGTCCCCTCCCCCGGCCGCCCGCCACACCTCGCCCCGTTGACAGCTCCGGCGCCTGGTCCAAGGCCCCCGCCCCTGCCGCGCCGTGCCCCTCCCTGCCTACCCCAGGGGGAAGAGGCCTCCGCAGAGAGGCCGCGCCCGCTCCCGGCCCTCCCCTCCCCGCGCCCGCCCCGGGGGACGCCTAGAGCCGAGCGGTGCGGGGCGCCCCTCCCCCGGCCGGCTGCGGCTGTGCGGCTGGGCTCCATGGGGGGAATACTGAGGAACCGGCACCGCCGAGCAGCCCCCACGCGAGAGCGCGCGGGAGGGACTGGGGCGCCCTGGGGAGCCGCGCCGCCGCCCGCCGTGCCAGGGCCGCTCCCGGGCTCCTCCGACCGCCGCCGGGAGTGCGCCACGAAGCCGACCCCGCTGCCTCAGCGCGGCCTGCCGGGGCCTCCACCCCAGCGCCTGAAATCGCGGTCGCACGCTTCCAAGCCGGCAGCCGTGCGGACCCCTCGGTACAGCCCCTAGCTTAGATTTCCCCAAGGAAGCTCTGCGCTGCCTGGACGGGTCCAGGGAGAGGTGCGGGGCCGCGACACGACAGCCGCCTATCCACATGGCGCGGTGTCTGTCCGCGCCTCTATGCCTACCCAGGGACCCTCTACTTCAGGGTGTGCGGGTCTCTCGGAAAGCACCAAGGTTTGCTGGCCAAGGATCCCTCCCGGCCCTGGAAACACGCCTGCATTCCTCTCCTCCCCCAGCCTGTTTCAGCGTCCGAGGGGCTTCTGGGCGCCCCCCACCACGCTTTCTCCTTTGACGTTTCCAGAAGCTGTTTTCCTAACCCTCTCCCCGGTTCTTGTTATTTATCCTCTGAACCTTTCAAGTGTGCAGGCAGTCTCTGGGTGGAATCCCAGCCGCGGGCCTCACTTACTGGCTCAGCGACTTTGGGCAAGTTATTTAACCTCTCCTTTTCCTCTTCTGTAAAAAGAAGATAAAAATACTTCCCTGCCTAGCTGGGTTGTTGTGACATTAAATAAGATCCATGTATAAACGGGGCGTTTCGCCCAGCGCCTGCGCAAGGGAAGCCTCTGTGAGGAGTAGCTTCTGGCCTCTGCCTCTCAACACCAGTAGCTCTCCTTCCCTTTGTCCTTGGTCACGTGACCCTGGGAACTGATCAACCCCCCTTTACCCTTCGCTCCCTTAAAGACAATGGCTGAGAACCGACTCAGTAAAACACCATCCAGCAAGAGCCTGCCCCCATCCCAGGAAGGCCTCTGCCTTGGAAGGAAGGAGCTCCAGGGTAGTTTGTTCTCTGTTGTCACTGTCCCACTTCCAAGAAGTCTGTTAGATGCTTAAAGCAGTGAGGTCCAGGGACAAAGGGGAAACTGAGCCTGGATGGGCCCAGATCTGGTTTCTCAAAGCTTCTAGGGAGTTGTGAAGGGTTGGCAGCCTGGGACTGTGAACCTGGAAGCAGGGAATCATGCTTTGGGAGGAGAAATAAGAAGGGGCAGGATAATCATCTTATTGCCTTTATTCTGCTGTTGGCCCAGCTGGCCCCACTGCAGGGCACAGGGCCAAGCTTTTACACGCTCACCCATGCTCTCTGTGCAGGCCAGTGCGTGCACACATACACGCGCACGTGCACACACACACACACACACTCACACATCCCATCTCTGGCTTCGAGAGTCAGTCTCTGGGGGGCAAAGGGCAACTCCTTGGCCTGCCCCTGCCTGCCCTTTTATGACAGCACCAAGGGCGGGAGTGGGTCAGGGCCCTTGGCCCCCAGAACAAATCCCTGTGCAAACTGGAGATGCCAGCTGGCTTCAGGATGGGGATGTCACATTTCCCCATTCCTGGAGTCCCCTCCTCCAGTTCCTGAGGGAGGGACTGCTCTCCACCTACCTGGGGGGCCAGACCCCTGCCAGGGCTGGGCCCTGTGGAACCCCGGCTTACCCCCATCTGACCCTGCCAGGACTTCCAGCATTGAAGAACAGACAAGTGTGAGGTCGTGGGGATCCCCCGCTGGAGAGCAGGAAGGTCTGGGCCCTGAGGGGCTTGGGGAGGGGTCATCACCCCCTCTCCTAATCCATCTTCAATATGAAGAGGTTTGGGGCACTCTTCCTGGGGAGGGAGCACAGGCCTGGAGAAGTCCCAGCTTGGGCCCTTCCCAGCCTTCCATCTTCTGGGCCACAGCCTAAGGCCAGGCACCCAAAAGTCCAAGAGTCCAAAAGTCCAGCCGGCTGCGCGGCATCCCTGCGCGGTCCTTGGGGTCCCCCATGGGAGCTGGTGTCAGACCTGCACGGGCAGCGTCTGGTTCATCTGCAGCCGCATGTCCTGGATACTGCTCAGGATCTTCTTCTGGTGGCCGGCCAGGGTGACCCCGATACGGAGCAGGTCTCTGCAGATGAAGCAAAAGCAAGATCAGTCCCCCTCCTCCTGCCCTCAACTCGGGGCCCAGCCCAGGGCCCCCGGCCCCGCTCCTTCGAATCCGAGGTATACTTACTCTGCGGTCATCTGGGCCACCAAGTCAAAGGATGCAAACCCTGCACTGACGAAGCTCTCCTTGTACCTCCCCATCTTGATGGCCTCCAGCCAATCACCAACTGTCGTGAAGGTCGTGTAATCTGGGACCGTGCGGTCCAGGAGGGGCTGTGACATGCTATGGGAAGAAGAGAAGGACCTGGTGAGTCTTGAGGGCAGGAGGTAGGGCTACTGGCTGGGTGGGAGCAGAGGCAGAGTTACTGACCCAGACTGAGCGCTGGCAATGACCTTGAGGCTGGCAGCATTGCGGATGAGCTTGTCCAAGGTATTGACAATCTGGGAGAATTTGGGCCTGAGGTTCCGGTCCCGCACCCAGCAGTCCAGCATGAGCTGGTGCAGTGCTGTGGGGCAGTCCATGGGCGGTGGCAGCCGATAGTCCTGCTCCACAGCATTGATGACCTGGGCCGAGGGCAGGGAAAGCCAGAGTGAGCCACCGCCACCATCCCCAGCCAGCGCCCACCCGCCCAACCGCTCTGGCATGGCCCCACTCACATCCTGGTTGCTCATGTCCCAGTAAGGTCGCTCTCCATAGCTCATGACCTCCCACATGACAATTCCATAGCTCCAGACATCACTAGCAGAAGTGAACTTCCGATAGGCAATCGCCTCCGGGGCCGTCCAGCGGATGGGGATCTTTCCGCCCTGGTGAGAGGGGCACAGGCCCTTCACCCTGTGACTCCGAGCTGCCCCCCAGGCCGGAGCCCCTGCCTGACAGGCCCCGTCCCCAGTCTCCCTCCCAGCGATTTCCTGTACCAGGGAGCTGGTGTAGGTGGGATCGGAGGGGTCGTCCTCCAGGAAGCGGGAGAGGCCGAAGTCTGAGACTTTGCAGACCAGGTTGCTGTTGACAAGGATGTTGCGGGCAGCCAGGTCGCGGTGCACATAGTTCATCTCGGACAGGTACTTCATGCCAGCAGCAATGCCCCGCAACATGCCCACCAGCTGGATGACCGTGAACTGCCCATCGTTGAGCTGCAGGCAACAAGCAGGTTTAGGTGTGCCCACTGCCCTGTCCCAGCCCATGGCTGCCCACCTGCCTCCCTCTCCAAGTACTCAGACTATGCAGCCATGTCCAGAGTGCCCTGAGGGTAAGTGAGCTGCCCTACTGTGTGGCAAGTATCTCGTAGACAACATCCCAATGAATCCCCATGAGGACCCACTAGCTCTTAGCACCCCATTCTACAACCAGGCAGCTGTGACTCAGAGAGGTTAAATCACTTGCCTGAGGTCACACAGGTATTAAGGAACAGAGTCAAGATGTGAGCTCCCATACTTCTGAAGGCCTGCACCCTGCCACCTCAGTAAATGCTATGGACTTGAATAGGGGCCATCTGACTTTCGTGTGGTGGGGGGTTAGCCCAACCCAACTCTCTGGGGGAGGGAGAGGGCCCAGGCGCTGGCTCTTACCCGGAGGAAGGAGTCCAGGGCGCAGTTCTCCATGAACTCAGTGAGGATCATGACTGGCCGGCTTTTGGTGACCACGCCCTCAAGCCGGATTATATTGGGGTGATCAAACTGGCCCATGATGGAGGCCTCACTTAGGAAGTCCCGCCGCTGCCGCTCAGTGTAGCCCACCTTCAGTGTCTTGATGGCCACAAACACCTCCCGGCGGCCAGGCTGTTTCAGTCGACCCCGGCACACTTCCCCAAACTCCCCTGCAGGGCACAGGGCACAAGCTATGACCCACCCCGGGACCCAGCCCGCCCCAGCGTCTCACCTCTACTGTGCCCCAGGAGACTCACCAGCTCCGATCACCTCCTCAATCTTGACACAGGAGACGTCGATCTCCTTGGCAAACTCCCGAACGGCCTCATTAGGGTCCTCGTAGGTAAAAGGGTCGATATAAACCTTCATTCCAGGAGCAACTGAAGGGAGAAGAGGTGGGCATGAGAAGGTAACAGATCTTCAAGCCAGCCTCTCCCCGAGAAGGGCGCAGCTCCGACAGCCTCCTCGCTGAGCCCGGCCCCATATTCCGCCCCCCCCATGCACCCCCCTTCCCCCAGTGTTGCTGCTCCAATCCTCCAGCCCCCGTGAGAATGCCTGGTGATCATAAAGGCTAGACACCTAGGATTCTACTCCTAGTTCTTCTCTCTCATCTCTCAGCACATCCAGACCTCTCTCAGATTCATCCCTCCCCTGGTTCTCACCGCCCTGACCTTATCCAGACCTTCAACACTCAGACTATTGCAATAGCCTCCCAGCTGGGCTCTCTGCCTCTGGACTTTTCCCACCGAGCTATCCTGCATTCCACTGTCTTCCTAAAACAATCTGTTCATTGTGTTACTCCCCAGCTCGAGAGCCTTTCCAATTACCTATGGTGGAGTCAAGTCCAAACTCTTCTGCCTGCCTTTCACGACCCTCTGCGGGCTGGCGACGACTGACTACCCGGCCTGGCTTCCTAGCAGCTGTCAAACCAGTCTTCTGGCTGCCCCCACAGTTGGGCTCCCTCCCCAGCCCGCCCACTACCTTCCAGAGGCTCCTCTGGCCAGGAATGCTCTCCCTCACCTCCCAAAACCCTGCTCATCCCGCCTGGCTCAGCTCCAGTCCACCTCCTCCAGGAAGCCTTCCTCTTCTCTAAACTCTCAGTGCCTTTTACAACAAGGAGCACCCGGCTCAGGGCTTAATTGTTCTCTAATTGTTTCCTGTGTGTCTGCATATTGTCTTTCCCATAGGACTAACTGCCTCTGGGGGGAGGGGTCAGACTTCTGTCATCTCTGGGGGCACAGGGTACCCGGAGAGAGATAGGGGTCAGGAAATGGCACTTGACTGGAATCAGGAGGGGGCATTCAGGGTTTATCTATAAGGAATGAAGTCCCAGGCAGGGAGAAGGGTGTCTGTGAGCCTTGCGGGGGCTGGGAGAGCTTAGGGAGGGTGTTGGGGGGCAGGCAGGGGTCAAACTCACTGTACTGCTGCAGCTTCTCCGTATACTCCGAGTCCGAGCCGTGCCGCTGCTTCCTGGAGGGGGCAGAGTGGAGGGCGGCCTGAGACCAGCCCTATGGCTCCCTTGTTCAGGAGACCCTTGGGCTCACAGAAGGGGCAGAGAGGACATAGAGGACGGCCTGGGGCCAAGTGCCACACTTGGTGGTCACAGCAGCCTCTGGCGCTCTGGGCAAGGGGCTCAGTGGACTCAGTCCCCAGGAAACCTGCCTGGAGATTCAGGGGATGGGGTGTGGACAAAGGGCAGGATGGGGACACAGGCAGGGATGGGAGAGGGCTTCCCCAGCTACGGCTGGTCCCAGGAGGGCGAAGGCCCTGGTCTGAGGGAGGTGGTGGCAGCTCATCTCTGAGGCATGAGGGGCAGTTCTGGTCAGCCCAGAGAGCAACATGGCCTGGGAGTACCTGAGGCAGACGATGGCGATGACCACGACGGCCACCACGAAGACAAGGCCAGCTGTCGCGGAGCCCACGATGAGGGGAAGCTGCTCCTGGAGCTGCTGGGCCCCGGGGCCTAGAGACAGAGAAGGGGCTGCTGAGTGGAGGGACAGACAGTGAGGGCCATGATGGGGCAGGCGCGGGGGCTGCTAACCTCTCTCACTTGTGGTCTCAAACTCGGCGGGCCGGCTGTACTTTCCATAGCCAGCGACCGTGCGGGCCCGGACCTGGACCACATAGCGGGCGTCGGGCCGCAGCCCGTCCAGCTGCACAGAGTTCATCTGGCTGGTCACTGTGGAGGCGATGCCCTCACTCTGCAGTGCCAGGAGGGAGGGGGCATCCTCAGGTGGGTCCTGAGGCCAACTGGCCCCTGTTCACACCCAGGCCTGCCACATGCCCCCTCCGTACCCAAGGCCTTGCTCTCAAGGGCCCGACACCCTGTGGAGGTAATTTTCTCAGCCCAGCTCAGCCCAAGGCCTCCTCCTGCCCCTCGAGGCTCTGACCTTCTCAAAGTACTTCATCTCATAGTCCAGGATGACTCCGTTGGGCCGCTCCGGGGGTGCCCAGGACAGGGTCAGGCTGCTGCCTGAGCTGCTGTGCAGGCGTAGAGTGGGCACTTCGGACGGGGCTGGGAAGAGCGGGGGGCTCACCAGGGGCTCCCTGGACCCTGGCATCCTTCCCAAAGACCCGCTTCCCATGGGACCCCCAGTGATCCCTTGGCAGTCCCCGGGACACCTCAGCTCTATCCAGGGGAAAGTGAGCCAGGCCCTACCCTCCCGTGTCCCCTCCTCACCAGCCTGGTTGGTGGTGATATTCACAGCCGCATAGCGGGGTGGCAGAGGGCTCTTCCCTGAGACACCGTTAACAGCCTGCACCTCAAAGGTGTAGCGTGTATGGGCCAGCAGATGGCTGATGTGGACCCGGCGCTCTGTCAGGCCTAGCTGCCGAGGCACAAACTCCACATTGTCGTCACAGCGTGAGCAGGCTGAGGGCCCCCCAGCCCCAGGGCCTCCATGGCACTTCTTGCAGATCACATTGTACAGGAGGTCATCCCGGCCACCCAGGTCCCGGGGCTCACTCCACTCAAGGATCAGTGAGGTTTCGTTCACGTTGGAGATCACACCTCGGGGCGGCGATGGCACGGCTGTGGGGGACATGGAGGAGAGGGTAGTGAGCGGGGGGCTCTAGGACCACCCTTCTGCCCAGAGTTCCTGCACACTCCAACCTGCCTTGCCTCTGCTTTGATGAGCAGAATAACTTTCCTATATTTCTTCACTAGGGAGACTCTTATTTATCCTTCAAGACTCAACTTGTGATGACACTTCCTCTTGGAAGCCTTCCTTGATTGATCCTCACCCTACACTCTGAATGTACATAAAAGAATTCCTAGACAACCTTCTAGCCCAGCTCTTAGAACATTACGGTAATTATCTGTTTTTATACCTATTTTGCCCAGCAGGTTTTGAGCTCCTTTAGAACAATGACTATCTTATTCACTGCATACCCTCGACACCCGGCACAACGTCTGGCACACCAAAGGCCAGGGCAGGGAGGAAGTGGGGCACAAGCCCACACTTGGGATGTGAGGCCCCCTCCGTGGATAGAGTGGGGCTGGGGAGAGGCACTCCTGTGCAGAGAGAGGGGTGATGCACTATAGGGCCGCCCACCGCTAAGCTTCTAGCCAGCTCCTAATCATGGCCAGGAGCTAGGAAGTGCTTAGCAGGCACTGGCAGAGGGGTGAGCTAGCTGACCTGGATTCTGGCTCAGGGGCGGTCACCTCCCAGCTGTGCCATCTTGAGCGCAACATCTAACTTCCCGAGCCTCAGCTGCTCCTCTGGAAAATGGGGCTATTCATAGTGACTGCCTAGGCTTCCCGGGAGGGTCCCCCAGAGGGCAGGTGGGCCGGGGAGAGGGCGCTCGTTCACTCACTGGTACAGGCACTGTCCGCGGAGTCCGAGTCTGCGCGGTAGAAGTTATTGTGGCAGGTGCAGATGCTGGCGGCCGGCGAGGTGGTCCGGCTGTTGGGAGGGCAGGGGAGGCAGGGCCCCTCTCCCTGCTTTGCCTTGTAGCTCCCAGGGGGACAGGCTGTGGGGGAGAAGAGGATGGATGGGGCTCACCTCCCTTCCCCACAGACACCAGACCCCCACAGCTCTGAGAACCTGGCTTCTCCCCAGCCTAGGCCCTAGCCCCCCAAGACTAGACTGTGGGGCAATGCTGGGATGGCCTTACTCCAGCTGCAGCTACAAAAGGCCCTGTTGCCCCATGGAAAGCCCACGTCAGCGGATTCCTCCCGCCCCTGCTCCCTCGCCCCAACCCCGGGGGCCTCACGGACGAAGACGTCAGCCCGTCACCTGGATGGCCTGGGCTTGTTGAGGCAGGGAAGACAGAGAAAGGGGGAGGAAGAGGCGGGGATGGGAAGAGACCACCTGTGGGGCCAGCAGCACCCATACCATTCGCGATCCGTGGGGATGCCCCGCCTCTCCCAGAGGCTCCAGGAAGACTATTCTGAGGACCCTGAAGGGCACCCTAGAACAGCCAGGAGCGGGGGCCTTGACAGCAAAGCTCTCACCCCACCCACCAGAGTCAGCAGCAGCTCCTTTCTGCCCTTGGGCAGGGACGGGGGTGAGGACGGGTGAGAGGAGGAGAGAAAGAAAGCAGGCAGGAAGGCTGGGGTCACCTGGAGTTCAGAGGCCTCATGTCCACAAGGGGACTCCCCCTCAGAGCAAGCCCAGGGCCCAGGGCCTGAGCATCCCTCATCCCCAGTGGCCCTCCCGCCATCTGCCCTTGATCCCTGGACGCAGGCTCTGTGGATCTAGGTGGCCTTATCATGCATTCTTCACACTGGAACATTTGCAAGTCAAAGGGGACACTCGTAATAGCTGAGTTAGGAAAACGGGTATACAGCAAGACTCTCCCCAGTGGCCACCACCTCTCCACGACTGCCTCTGGCGGGGCACCACAGGGGAGAACCTCTAGTACCCGGGCTTTCCCTTTTCTGGGGTTTCATCTCCCCTGACCAAGGTGATATTCCATCCTAGCTCTTTTGAGCCAGCGGGGGAGGGGGCAGAGGCCAGGCCAGCCTGGTTGCTATGGGAACCAACATGCATTTCCTGCCAGGGACCTGCAGAGTGTTAGCCCCTCTTCAGGCTGTCAGGCTCATCACCCCACCCCCTTTCTCCACTTAGCAAGAGGAAATCTCAGGACAGGTTCCCATCGAGAAGTGGAGAGGGCCCGGAATGGCACCGTTCACCTTCCCATGAGAACACGGGGCCTCGCAGCCAGCCTCATGCTGCCAAGCCCTCACACCTAGGGTGCGGTAAGAGCCATTGCCTACCCCTCAGTGCTGCGGGCTGCGAGCCCCAGGGAAGAGAATCAGGCAGAGGGAGTGAAAGACAAGGCCCTCAGCACACCATCCTGCATGGCAAGGCACAGGAGGAGGCTTCGTGCCGACCTCCACATTCCCAGTTACGAGGCCTGTGTTCAGAGCCTCTCCAAGATTCAGTTTCCTTATTGGCGAAACAGGGAGATGACAGGAATCTACCTCATGGGGAGTGGTGAGGCTCCATGAGAGACCCCTAGGTGGACAGTTTTGACACCTGAGAAGCCTAGTACGGAAGTCTTGGCAAGCCATCAGAGGCAGGCAGATCACCTGAGGTCGGGAGTTTGAGACTAGCCTGACCAACCTGAAGAAACCCCGTCTCTACTAAAAATACAAAATTAGCCAGGTGTGGTGGTGCATGCCTGTAGTCCCAGCTACTATGGAGGCTGAGGTAGGAGAATCGCTTGAACCTGGGAGGCGGAGGTTGCAGTGAGCCCAGATCGTGCCATTGCACTCCAGCCTGGGTAACAGAGCGAAACTCCATCTCAAAAATAATAATAATAATGGCAGAACACCCCAGCTCTCATGGATCCCTGGGCTCTAGAGACTCAAGGCCAACACTGAGCTGGTGGCTGTGCTCCCATGTGACAGACACTGTTCTAAGGGCAAAGCGCTGATCACGTGAGCCTCACTACAGCCCTATGAAGGAACCTCATGATTGTCCTCATCTTGCATATGAGGAATCCGAGGTTCAAACAGTTAAGTAACTTGCCCAGGGCGGGGCACGGTGGCTCATGCCTGTAATCCCAGCACTTTGGGAGGCCAAGGCGGGTGGATCACTTTAGATCAGGAGTTTGAGACAGCCTGACCAACATGGTGAAATCCCGTCTCTACTAAAAATACAAAATTAGCCGGACGTGGTGGTGTGTGCCTGTAATCCCAGCTACTCAGGAGGTGGGGCAGGAGAATCATTTGAACCTGGGAAGTGGAGGTTGCAGTGAGCTGAGATCACACCACTGCACTCCAGCCTGGGCAACAAGAGTGAAACTCCGTCTCAAAAAAAAAAAAAAAGTAACTTGCCCAAAGTCACGTAAGTGGTAAGTGACAGTCAGGACTGGACTTCAGTACTGGGCCCTAACCACTGTGTGATTTATATACTGCCTCCCAAGGGGCAGAGGAGAGCCCAGGTTTTGTAAAAGGCCATGCACAAGGTGCCAATAGCCCCTGTGCCCTCAGCCCTGGGGCCGACCTACCACTTCCAGGGTGAAGCACAGACTCAAAGCAGGACTAAGCGGGCATCTCTGCTGGCCTCCTGAGCCTCTGACTGGGCCCTCCAGTTGCCTGCTTGCCGAAAATTCTCCATGCCTCTCTTCCTCTTTCATTTTTTCTTTTCCTATCCTTGTCTCTCCACATTTTCTCTCTCACCTCCCTCTTTGCACCCCATTCTCTGCATCTGATCCCCACTCTTCCCTTTCCTGCCTCCACTGCAGAGCTGCTGCCAGACCTCCTGGTCAGAGAGAAAGCAGGGGCTGGGGCACATAGGTAGCCATGGCCCAGGGCCTCCCCGCAACCCTCTCCCCAGGCCGGTCCCCACTCACGGCGGCACTGGGACTCCTTGGCAGCTGGCTCATGGCCGGTGGCACAGGTGCAGGCACCCACGGGCACCATCCACTCCCCGTCGCCGTTGCAGTAGAGCTTGAGTGGCACTGACACCTCCACGGCGTTAGGGATGCAGGTGCCAGGAGCAATGACCAGCGAGGTGGGCTCCGCCCCAGTGAGGGTCTCGGGGAAGAGTGCGAAGCCTGCGGTGGTGGATGCACACTTCTTGTAGAAGGCGCGCACGGAGATGAGTGACATGCAGGCGCCCTGGTCTTGGAAGGCCAGGTAGAAGCCAGCCTTGGAAAGTGGCCCAAAGCTGCGCACCTTGGTGTTGACACGGCCGGCATCGAGGCGTGAGAAGCTCTCATCAGGCGCGATGGTGTCCACTTTCACGTAGGGGTTCTCCATCCAGAAGGGGGAGGAGGCGGAGGCCACATCGCTGTCGGCCTCGTAGTAGAAGAGGTTGAAGGTCTCCTTGCAGGAGCCGGGGATGTTGGGGATGCTGTTGCAGTCGCGCACCGTGAACTTGAGCTCCACGTAGACCCGCTGCACGTCCCGCCGCCAGATGAACCCCGTGCGGAGCCAGTTGTTCTGGCTTGACTCACGCACATTACACACCTGGTACGTGCGGATGGGATTCATGCCCTCATCATAGCCACTCACCTCTTCCCACTGTACAGGGACCAATGAAAAAGACAGAGCATGAGGCCGGCATGTGCCCAGTGCTTCCCTGTGCCCAGATCTGCTCTATTTACTTCACAGGGGTGCTTCTACGGTATAGTGGCTGAGCATGCGGCCTACGTGGGTTCAAATTCCAGCTCTCTGCTTGCTGTGTGATTATGGGTAAGTCAGTTAATCGCCACGTGCCTCAGTTTCCCTATCTGTAACATGGGGAGAATAAAGCTGTGTAAGGAATAGACTTTAACTGAATGAAGCATTTAGGACAGGACTAGGAGCATTATCTATAATATTTGTGATCTTTATGCCTCAGTTTCATCACCTGTAAGATGGGGCCTAATAGAACTGAACGAGGCTGTGAGGAATTAAATCAGGCTGATAAATGTAACGGGCTTGTAACAGCGCAAGCACTTCTTGGATACTGGCTGCCACTATTAGCATCGCATTTAATCTTCCCAACAACTCCACGAGGAGCATCTGTTGTCCTGATGTTTAGAGATGGGGAAGCCAAGGCTCGCAGAGGGAGTTGTGCCCAAGGTCAGTCAGGCCGGGAGACTGCAGGGCCTGTGGTGCCATCCTACTCCAGGGTTCTAGGGCTTAGAGGAGCCATGAAGGCCATCTAGGGAGGTTAACTGGAATATCTGAGAGACGTCCAGACTGCAGGAATTTAACAGTCAAGGAGTGGTGGTCCAGAGGGGTAAACGGCCTTGCCTAAGGTCACACAGCAGGTTAGAGATCTGGAACTAAGGTTTACAAGCCAATGCTCTCTCCAAGGACCCAGGGTGGAGGGAGATGGGGATGGACACACAGAGGGCTGTCAGAAGGAGAGGGAGTGGGGGCTGGGAGGCACAGGCAGGCGGAGGAGAGGAGAGGCAGAAACGCCCACAGAGAAGGACCTCGAGGTGCTTCAGAGGGTGACAAATGAGGAGGATGGGGATGGCAAAGGAAGCAAGGGTGACGGGCAGAAGACAGAGCGCAGAGGCAGCTCTTCTCCAGGCCCTGGTGAGGTGAGGGGCACGGAGGCTGGAAGTAGGGGGCAGCCTAATGGCAACCAATGCTCAGGAGAATGACAGGAAAGTCTCACCCCAGTTTCTGGATGAGATGTCCACGCCAACTCAGACGTCACCCATTTTGTGTCCATGAGGGTCTCTGGGGAGAAAACGGAGAAAAAGGTCAGGGACTAATCTCAGGAGGAGGAGAAAGAGATCACAGCCAGGCACGGTGGCTCACGCCTGTATTCCCAGCATTTTGGGAGGCTGAGGCGGGTGGATCACTTGAGGTTAGGAGTTCGAGACAAGCCTGACCAACATGTTGAAACCCCATCTCTACTAAAAATACAAAATTTAGCCGGGTGTGGTGGTGCAGGCCTATGATCTCATCTACTCAGGAGGCTGAGGCAGGAGAATCACTTGAACCCGGGAGGCGGAGGTTGCAGCGAGCCGAGATTGCGCCACTGCACTCCAACTTGGGCAACTAGAGTGAAACTCCATCTAAAAAAAAAGGAAAAAAGAGATCACTGAGGAAAAGAATTCCCACCAGGCTCCACTCTGCACACTCTCCCCAAAGCCCCCCTCCCGCTCCCCCATTTCCTCACTACCTAAGAGGAGACCCTGCAGACATCCCAGAGATGTCACAACCTCAAAGATGTCAGGTCGGGCAGCTAGGGGTGGGTGCCCTGACCCCAGGCCTGGGTTAATGAGGCGGGAACAGAGGCCGGTCCACACACCTACAGGCTCTGCTAATCTCTGCACAAAGGGGCCGGCAGGGCCTTTATCCTGGAACAAAGGGCTGTGTGCTTCAGACCCTGGCCCTGGCCTCCCCCGACTCCATTCCCAACAAAGGCCCAGCCCCACACTCAGCCCAGGAGAAGGGGAGGGCAGTGACCGGCCAGGGCCAGTTCCCACCCAGCCACCTACAGGTGATGATGGGGCAGGGATGCGCTGTGAGGGTGTAGAGGGAACCACCAAAGCCCCAAACCAGCTCCTAGTTCAATTCTTCCTGTAATCCTTGGAAGAAGGTACTAATGATGTGTCCCTTTTACAGAAGAGAACACCAATGCCCAGACAAAGAAAATACACTCCTTAAGGTAAAGTGGTGAGGCCTCGGGGTGAGGCATCAAGGGTGGCTCAGATTCAGGTCTGACTCTGTAATTAATTCCTTGCACTCTGACTGCAATATGCCCCTTTGAAAAGGAGGGATGAAAAAAAGCCTAGCCTATCATTTAAGGCCCAGCAGAGCTGTTGCCTCCTCCAGGAAGGCTTTCCTGAACCTCCAAGTCAGGGTAAGATGCATCAGGGGCCAGGGACTTTTTCAGAGTGCCCGTCCTGTGTTCTGAGCTGGTTTCTTGTCTGTTTCACCTCACTTGGTCACAGGAGGGACCCATTAATGTTTCTGACATTCATTGCTCCCTTAGGAAGCCCCTTCTGGGCTCTGGCTGGATGACACTATTCTGAAGGACAGTGTGACCCCCAGATTAGACCTGGGGCAGGAAAGGAAGGAAAGAGGTGCCAATTCCTTCCCCATGACCTGGAAGGCAGTAAGGCTACGTTGTGTTCCCTCAACTGTGAAGCTGGAATGGGGCATGGCTGCCCCAGGACCTCTGAAGGCCTCTAACATCAACAGTGGGGCAGCTGGCAGTGCCCAGGTGGGGAAATATCCAAACCCCATGGCCACCGGCTTGCGGTCTTCACTGGTTTCCTGTAGCCTAGGTCTGAGCCGAGGACCGCGGAAGACCCCGTGGGTGGACAAGGCCGCTGTGACCCCAGACCTCAGTGTCAGGAAAAGGGGCTGCAGGTAGCAGCCAATCACTGCAGGGCGGGAGGCTCCTCTGGCCGCAGCCCTGGTCCCCTGAGGGCGCCCGGGTGCAGGGAGAGCGATCCCGGCCTCTGGCAGGCAGACAAGCAGGCAGGCAGGCAAACAGACAGACAGAGAGACGCAGACATTCGCCTGGGAGAAAGGCGAGTGGGGCAGGGACTCGGCTGGGCGGCGGTGGACGGTGGGCGGCCCGAGCCGGAGGCCCTGCGGGGCCGGCTGGCGGGGATCAGACCGCGGGGACGGCCGGCGGGGGCCTACAAAGACCGGGGACGGAGAGACGCGGAGGTCCGAGCAGGCAGAGGCAGAGGGAGGTTGCCAGACGACCTCCTCCCCAGCCGGCGGCCCGAGGGTCCGTCCCGGGAGCGCGCCCTGCCCCCGCAGCCAGTCCTCCTGCGGGTCCGCCAGCCGCTGCCCGCCGGAGCAGGCCGGGGCTCCCGCCGCTGCCTCGCGAGGCCTCCCTCCTCCCTCTCCCTCACTTCCTTCTGCTCAGCCCGTGCCAAACCCATCTGGAACTGTTTAAACCCAAATATTCAGCCCCTCCCCCTCCAGCCAGATTCCTCCACAGTTTAAAACAAGCCCCGCGCTGGCTCCGGGAGGAGGGAGCGGAGGGAGGGGGCGGCGGGGAGGCGGCGGCGGGAGGGGAGGGAGCGAGGGAGGCAGGGAGGCTCTTCGTTTCTGTTTAATTTCTGGGGAGCGAGAGCGGGAGGGAGGGGATCGGCCCTTGGCCATCGCTCAGCCTTGGCCATCGCTCAATCTCGGCACATTTTTCCCATTAATGAGGAGGGGACTTGGGTTTCGAGTCATGTGTGCCTGAGGAAGGGCTCCGGTCACTCCGGCGGGGAGGGGGCCGCGCGCTCTCGGTTTCCCCGCTTCTCAGGGGGAGAGGAGGAGCCTGCTGCCTTCAGCCTGCGCAGGCACAGGGGACAGAGCACAGCCTTCCTCGGCCCTGAGGTGCCCGGTCCCAGCCTCCGGCAGGAGGTGATGGGGGTGTGTGTGGGGGGGGGTCACAGAACTCATCTGTCTGTGGCATTGGGAGGAAGAGGCCCAGCTCACCTTCTCTGTGCTGTGTGTGCGGCGTGTGCATGTGTGTGTGTGTACGTGCGCGCGCGCGCATACACCCGCTGGGACGGGGGTTTGAGGGGCAGTGGGTAAAGCAAAAGAGGAGCGAGTGAGCAAGCTCCCAACTCCCCACCTTCCTACGGCCCCCCACCCCTGGCTGACCCACCATGTGTCTGCAGGAGGCAGAAGAGAGAAGAGGCTGGCCCACCCCAGACGCTGGGCTGTCAGGCAGGAACCACACTGTCCCGCAAAGTCACCAGGGAGGCAGGCACCAGGGAGGCAGGCACCAGGCCCGGGGACTGGAGCTTTGATGCTCAGGAGGGAGGCAACACCTCTTTCAGGTTTCTGCAGGCCACAGAGAGCCGCCACGTGGCAGCCGCTGTGTGACCCCCACCCACGCGCGCGCGCGCACACACACACACACACACACACACAGATGCACACGCAGCATCCAGTCCTGGGGGCTGGGTTCACTCCCCACCACCGTGCTAAAGAGCGACAAGTCAACACATATGGTGGACAAAAACACACAAAGCCACAGCCGCCCGCAAACACACGCCCAGCTTCACACAGAGCCACGGTCTGTCTTTCTCAGACACACGGATGCATATGGTCCAAACAGATTAGTCTTCCTTAGACATTCATATACAGTGAATCTTTCTTACACAGAGATCTGGCTTGCCTTAGGGAGACCCACGCTTACAGCCTGCCTGTGTGCAGATTTCCTGAAACATATGCACACACAGAGGGCATGCATACCCAGCCCTGCAGTGTGTTCTCCTTACACACCCAATTACACATGCTATCACCAGCTGCAAGTCACACAGGCTTCGGTGTAAAGTGCAAACACAAACACCAGTTTCCCCGTATAGACTTGGTGACATGCGCTTACCTAGTCACACAAACTACAGTCAGCTGCAAAGTCACAGATGCCCAATGACACTGGAACATGCCACAGCCCCTGCAAAGGAGCATCCTGACATCGCCTAAGTATAAATACCTAGATTTGTGTAGCGCCTCAGAGGTGCAGGCTCCATGGGCTTGCAACACACACACACACCCTTCGAGCATGGTTCTCTTTATGGATGTCTTTCAGTGGGGTAGACATCCTGCCCCTAATGCTCTGGTGTCTCTTGCTCAGGCAGGGCAGCCACACGGGCCACTCATGCAAGGGAAGCAGAGGCGCTGGGGCAGCCTTTGCCAGAGGTGCAGGGAAAGAGCCATAGCCCTGCTTCCTGCTGTCCTGGCTTGGGCGGGAGCTGTCAGTCAGGTCACGAGGCTGGGGTGGGGCAGGGGCATGAAGATGATTCTGGGTGTGGCTGGGTGCGGCCTCCCCAGGTATAGCCCCTGCCCAAATAACACGCCACTTCCCTGCCAGCACAATGGCACCGGCTCAAGGGCCCCTAAGCCCTTGGTAGAGGGTAGCTCCCTGAAGAGATCTGGCTTCAGAAGCTCTGGACAAAGCTCTTCCGCTTGCATGTCAAGGACCCTGAGCAGGACAGGAGGAGGCATCATGGGCACCCTGGCCTGCAGGAGGAGCACCAGCTGAGAGCCTGTCACCTGCCCCAGTGAAGGGCCAGGCCTCATAGCACCCTGGGAGCAAGAGTGTTGTTGAGACCCAGGAAACAGACAACAGAAAACAAAACAAAAACAGAAAAAACAGGTAAAGACAGAAGCAGCCAGCCTTCAGCCTGGATTCCAGACGGGGACTTAGAGGTGGGAGGAGAGGGAACACACCAGGGCCGGGCAGGCAGTGTGCAGCGGGCAGGAGGGCAGGGGGCCAGGGTCTGCGCAAGGAGGAAAGTTCCATGCCACACTTGTGGAGTCCCTTCCTCAGCCACCAAGCTGAAGGATCTGGCTCCCCTCCCACGGGTCAGGATGTGTACACAGGGCAGTCAGCATGGGGAGCAAGGGGTCTTGAGGGGAGCCTGCCATGGGCCTGGAGAAGATAATGTTGTGGGGAGCATGGCTCACCCAGGGCCGCCACCTCCTTTCCTGCCACAGCCCCTTGGCCCATGTCTGGGATGGAGGGGAGGGAACATCTCAGAACAGAGAACACATTTTGTTTTTCATTCTTACCCTCAGATCAGGGGGGTTTATAATTAAATAAACCTGAGAGGGAAGAGAAGGGGTAAGAAACCCAGGACGGGGAGCCCAAACGCCTCAGAGATCATCCACACCCCCACCGCACTGGTGGCCCTGCCAGGAGCCAGAAGGACGGGTGGACAGCAAGCCCTTCCCTGAGCCCTTCTGCCCTTCCCCAGACGCTGGCCACGCTGGGTCTGGCCAGGAGGCTGGGGGCAGAAGGCAATAGGAGCCCTGGCATCAGGGCTGGCCATTGGGCAGGGGGCCTTGCCCACCCCATCAGGTGCCCAGCTGTACCCACTCCCCCTCCACCCCTCACCCCCACCAGCTGCCCAATCCCGACAAACCAGTTTGACTCAGCACAACAGGCAGGGCTACAATTTTCAAACTATGCAGGCCTGGTGATTCAGCCTCTTCATGCTGTTTAATTAGCGGAAGGCCGTGTGGCAGAGGCCTTGCCCATGGCAGCTTCGGCTTCAGCTCAGTGCTTACACGGAGGCCGCGGCGGCGGCGGCAGCTCTGGGTAAAGACAGGGCAGTGCCGAGCAAACTGGTTCCTCTGAGTACCCCCGGCCTCAGCGGCAGCTCTGAACACCAGCGCATGGGAGACAGGGAGGGGGCTTGGGGGTGCCACAGGCACCCCAAATCCCAGCCCGCTGTCCCCTTTCAGTTCCCACATTCTCAGGGGTCACTCCTGTGGAGGAGGTAGGCTCCACGCTGCCTTGTTCCCTCAGGGACAGGTTCCACAGGACTGACAGCTCAGCTACAATGGCTTGGCTGGAGGGGGATGTGTAGGCCCCACCTCCTGCGATCTGGTAACTGTTTCTCTTTTCTCAAAAGGATCTCTTCCCAGCAGGGATCTCACCATCCTATCCCAGGTACAGGGGCGCTGGGGTCCAGACACCATTCCTCATCCCATTCCCAGTCTGCTCCCCACTGGACCCCACTCCCAGGCCTGCTGATGGCCCGCCCTCAGGGGAGAATAATCTTGGCTTTGGGGAACTGGAGAACGCTACTCAAAAAGCGAGTGGGCGACAAGATGGCCTGTTTCCCTGTGGCTGAGGGCAAGGGAGGGCGTGTTTTCAACCACGAGGACAAGCTGGGACCCAGGCTCCGTCCACATGGAAAACTGACGGCAGCCTTGGATGCAGAGTCTCGGCGACCCCTAAGTGTGCTGGGAGGGAAGACGAACCAGGCGCTCGATAGTGGGTACATGAGAGGCAGAGGCAGCAACCACAGCTCAGGGACCCTGGGCCTAAGTAAATGTCATGCCCCAGACACAGAGCACCACCGGGCCAAGGGCAGACCAAATCCTGATGAGGCCAGATGGAAGGCTGGACACCCGCCTGGCAAGCTGGAGAGGCTGAGGAGATCCTCAGTGCTATGGATGCCACAAATCCCTGCCCTGGTCACAGCCCAGGATCTGGAAGTCCACCCATCCACATGCCAAGCCCCAGAACAAGGGAGGGAGGGCAAGGACAGGCAGAAAACAGCTGCCCACTGAGCCAGCTCTCCCCATTCCTTCCCTCCTTAGAGCTGCAGGGAGATGTGGGGGGAGAGAGCCCACCCCCCACCCCTGCACCAACCTTCCCTTTCATCTTTCCTCCCTCTAACCTCCCTCCCACAGAAAGGCACACACTCGGTTCACTCCTGAAGCTCCCCAGGAGCAGACCCTAGGGTAATAATAATAACAGCTAATCCTTGAATAACAATGCTTATGTGCTAAGCACTTTGCACACATTAACAATTCAGTTCTCAGAACAACTCTGCAAGGCCGGTGCTGTTCCCGTCCTGTCTCCCAGTGAGGGGGACCAGAGGGTGGCAGGTGCAAGGTCTTCACTGGAGTTGGCACCTTGCATTTGCTCCCTCATTTTCCCATGCACGAACTGGTGGCCCAAGGGTCTGAGGGATTGCAAAAGTGAAGGAATTGGTGAAACCACCCTTGCAGGCACTGCTGCTACCCAGGGGCACCCCACGCTGGCCTGGCCTCCCAGCCAGGGAGTAGCCCTAGCTCCCACCTCACAGCAGAGGCGAGGTGGGCAGGTGGGGAACAAGGGGCTCTGCTGCCCCCAGCCCATCAGGA